AAAAAAAAAAAAAAAAAACAGGACAAATAAAAAAAAACCCGGCCCTTGTAATCGGCCTCAGTCTCGCAATAACAGCGAATCAATGCCTTATTTTTATTTATATTTTTTTCCTCCGGCTGATAATGAAATTGTAACATTTCGAAACGTTCCGGGTTTTTTTTTTTTTTTTTAANTCCTTTTTTTTTTTTTTTTTTTTTTTTTTTTTCAGCCTTCTCCCCAAATTAAGTTGCTTTTTATTGTATGTTTATAAATGATAAGGCAAAACTTTATCAGTTACTTTTGGGTGCGAGGGGGCATAGGTACCTACCTGTACCTACTTAAGTAGGTAAACCAAGTGTGATATCATCTTAAATTCATTCTCGGTACATTTATGTAATGAGGATGAACACACTTCGGTATGATAGGTGGATACTCACTAATAGTTAAAGGATGGAGACCATTTCCTGAGTAAGCATAATCCTGATCCTCTTCTCTTAGTTCTGCTAAACACCTTGATGCTAAATGCCTAAATACTTGATTCACATTTACATCTTCTTTGACTGAAGTCCGTATTAGTCGGCAGCCAAGTGCTCTGGATAAGAGTTCTGCCTCTTCCCTGTAAATTGCAAAAAAACAAAAACAAAAAAAAATCATAAGAATGCGAAATAACTAACAAAAAAAAATGAGGTTTTTCCAATAACGTTCTTATATTGAGACAGGGCAGTTACGAACCTACTTGTGAAGGTGCATCCTAAGACAATTAAGTCATTCGTTGTTGAATTAACTAGGTATTTTTCAACACAGAGGGTACCTAAGTAAGAAGATCAGGGCCGGATTAAGGGGGTGGCCACATGGGCCGCGGCCCATGGCGGCAAATCTAAGGGGCGGCAAAAATTTGCAATTTTTTAAAGCGCAGGTATAAAAAAAATCGGATTTATAAAAACAAAATTACAAACGAGAAAAGGCGACAAAATCTCTCATTTCCTGAGAGTATAATAATTTCTAATTTTTTCGTCTCTTAGTGATACAAGAAACAGCACCCTCAATAAGTCGAGTTACGGGAGAAACCAAACACGCAATTTGGCCTAGAACGGCGCGACTTAGAGAGAAATGATAACGAGGACTTGAGATGAAAAGGTGAAGCCCTCGGCGCGGCGATCGGCATGTAACACATATTTGCGCCTACAAGACTGCACGAATACTTCACGTATTGCATCAAACAGCGCGGTCATTGCGATCAGCGTGAAACGGATAGCGCCTACAAGCATGCATGAATACTTCACGCATTGCGCCAAACACAGTGCGGTCAGCGTGAAACGCATAGCGCCTACAAGACTGCGTGAATACTTCACGCATAGCGTTCAACACGGTGCGGTCTGCGCGGCGCGGCGCGGCGGCGGAAGTTAAAATCATTGAACCTCATTTATGTTTGTTCTTTCATAATTTTTTCGTTCATTTCTTATGAATGGAAGGCCTTGTCCACACAGAGATAGGTTTACGGAACTTAACTTTCGCGCAAAGTTTCGTGAACTTTTGCTGGTAGTGTTGACAGGGCTTTCCAAAAACGTGTTCGACGCGAGTAAATGTGTCTCATGCAGCCCTCCCCCGCTGGCACGTTCATTTGATGGTTTTTATCGAGTTTTCAAACGAATGAGAAGGGGGCGGCCCATGGGCGGCAAGTAGGCGAATCCGGCCTTGAAGAAGATTCTTCTTTTCGTTTGCAGTGGTGGAAGTAGGCAAGTAGGTACTAATTAAATAGCTCTTGAGACTCTTTCCAATTCGATCAAACCGCAAGGAAATGTTGGTCACGGTAAAAAAGAACAGAGCAAACAAAAACAATAAAAAAAAATAATTTGTCTTAAAAATCCATAAATATGACATGCAAGGAGAATGTTAGTTTTATAAAACCATGTACTGATAACAAGGATCAGGTTTTTGTCACTGACATTTTCTGAAGAAATTGAGATCTTTATACGACATTTTTTTCGCATGAAATCGGCACGAAGTATGGTATTATGAATCAACAGGAAACGTTCATTTTATTGATACACCCACCAAGTGGTACACTTCTAATTTCAGCTATGTAGTTCAGCTTATTCATAAAAGCTCGCCCATGATGGATTGGTTTCAAGTATGATTCGAAACCTCCCGATAACCCAGTCCTGTTTGCTTAAAAGAATGGTAAGTATTGCGCCGTCAAAAATTGCAATAAAACTGATATACCATCGTAATTTTTAGTTTTTGTTATTTGTACTCGTACATTATTGCTTATCCCGTCTGATACGGCGCTGAAATTATTGAAATTTCATTCCAATTAAGTTGCAGCTCCTAAAAGGGTAGCAAGTTGCCTATCTCCTTAGTTTCGGGCGCGGAGATTATCGCCACTAGCAGTGGATCGGAAAATAAAATAGTTTCAGTAACACCGTATGTTTCGAAGAATTGAATCTTGATAGAAAAAGAGCAAAACAAATCATGATAAACCTCAGAAAAATAAAAAATCCCTTGGCGTGCATTACGGATTGTCGTGTAAAAATTACCAATAAAAATGTAAACTGTATAAGCCGTTGCAACTAGTTATTGAAGTTAAATATTTAAATCCTCCACCTAGTATTTGCATAAAAAATTTGTATTATGCATTACACTAATTGTAAGAAGGTAATTATACTTACGGTTCTACGAGGCACTGGTCTATAAGATCAATTTTATTTTGAACTAGAACTGTCGGAATATCTCCGCACTCATCCTCCACCTGTTTAACAGATAAGAGGAATCAGTAACCGACCTGCTTTGTATTTCATTTTTTTAGTATAGGTACGGGACAATGGCTGTGAAAACTAAGGATCAAGAAATCGATGGCTATAAACTCTCAAAACACGCGAGTGCGTCAAAATGCGACTTCGCAAACGTCGTCTTCTCTTCAGGTTTTTAAAAAAGAAAACCAACTCTTTAATATTTTAGCCTTATATTTTCATTTACCATCCGTAGTGACATTTTTTTTTTCTTTTTACATAAGAAAAGAAAATTTTACTTTGTCGATTGATTGAAATAATGGCACATAAATTTACATTTGTTTTCGTAAAATGTAAACCACAGCCATGAAGACAGCATATAAAAGATGTGGATATAAGTTCATGGATTTTTTTCCTTTTTTCTTCTTCTTTTTTCCCATGTTTTTCTGTAAGTTGATGATCCTTTTTAACGTAAAACTATCGTAAATTCACTCAAACTGTTTACCATAAAAAGTAGTTATCAATGCGTTAACTATGGAGTAAAATGTAAATTCATGCACTTTAGAGTAGAAAAAAGTAAAATTTACTTTTTAAGATAGGAATAGATAAGTAAGTAATCGACTATTTTGAAACCACCTGATGATCGGTCTGCGAATAGCTCCCTGAGATCTCCTTCAATCCGTGGAGTAGGCACACCCACACTACCATCATGCACGAATAGTTGCTTCAGTCGAAAACAATTGAACTGCATTTTGCAATTTGGACCCATAAAAACTGGCTCATCTGAAAAAAGACTAATGTGCATAGGAAAACTAAAGGCACATACGTTGTTTTTAAACCGGGCCGGAATTCATAGTTCCTAATTGCAAAATGAAGTCCAATTGATAATTGTAATACAGAGTACGGAAAACGTCTATAATACTACCTACGCTTCTCAGTTGGGATCCTGACGGAGGACAACTAAGAAGTCACGGAATTTACGGTGAGCAGGAAAAGTGAGGAAATTTTGCGAGTAGGAATGAGTGATCATATTGAATTATTGTAAGATTACCTTCATTTTCCAGGAGTGGATGGCTTCGAATGAGTCGCGATCTGTGGTGGAAAAAGCTAAAACGCAGGCTTGAGCCCCGCGGTAGTAAGCTTTGGTAATGGCATCGAATTCTTCTTGTCCTGCCGTATCCCACAGCATCAATCGCACATCCTCCCCCTCGCATCTGAAATCAAAACGACGAGTCCTTATAGTTTTGGCTCCGCTGCTAGGATCGAGAGTCTCATTCTTCCGTGCTAAGGAAGAACGCCGTAAGGACATTCGAATGTTGCCAAATTGCTCCGGATAAAACATGTATTTTTGACGAAACTTATGCATATTTTTTCTTGAAATTTTCAGATATCTTGGATTAAATTGAGAACAAAATAGTCTGAAAAACTGGAAGAAAAATATTCACAATTCACCCAATAAATTCGTATTTTATCAAAGGAAATTTGGCAACGCCTGAAAGTTCATACGGCGTTTTTCCATAGCATGGCTGCATTGGAGCTCATACTGCCACAAAGCTCCGATGTGAACAGAAAACAGCGAGCACCCACATCCAAGACGCTTTTTTCAAGTCTACACAATGGAGGGGCTTGGAGGACAAGCCGCATGTAAGGACAATTTTGTAAAAAATTGAAATATTAATGATTTCCATTGAGGAAAACTAGTCTACGTGCATATTCTATGCAAAATTCGCTCCCAAATTCCATTTTTTAAGCATCAAAAAATCAGTTTGAACTTTTTTCTCGCCATAAGGATCCAGGTAATTTCGAAACTTCAAAAATGAATTTCTCCAAATAATAACGAAAACTGCACTTATGCGCCTTGCCCTCCAAGCCCCTCAATTGGTATGTTATAAACTCTCGCTGGGGCAAGAAAACACTTGTTGCTTCTCAGAATTTGCTCGATTGTCACAATAATTATACACCGGGAAAGTCTGAAATCATTACTAATGTATAAACTCAGTGACTCCCTGAATTTTCATTTTTTGTCACAGTTCGTTCTCAAGATCTACCAAACCGATTTTCATGGCTATCAATAGGAAGAGTTCCTAGATGAGCCGCTTTATTAAGATGAAACCCGCAAATCGGGCCTCAGGGGGTACGCGTACCCCCTAGTTTACTCCTCACTTCACAATCTGCGTTCAAAATGTTGCGTTAATTTGCGAGTATCCCGCCTCTGAGAGATTACTGCGGCGGCAGAAACAAAATTAATTTTATACAAATGAGTACCTAATGAAGAAGGTTTCACAACTCGGTGCAAAACTTAATTCAAATGTCTTTCGTCGTATGACACAGTTCCTCAAATAAGAACAGACAACAGAGATGCTAGAAAGCAAAAGAAGATGTCAAAAAAATTACGTTCGTTATATTTTTTTTATTGAAAAACTGCGGCACATAGGTATAGTGGCAGTCATTTTAATTTCCAACAAGATGAATGAGCACCCGTCTGTATAAGAACATTAATTTCACATAAGTTGTTTCTAAAATGAGCATAAAATATTAGTGTCTCATTGCAAAATGTGGTCCAATCAAACGTTTCATTATGAGTTCGTTTAGAGTATCTAGAGAAACCCCGTCTTTGCACACTACACAAAGTGGCCAACAACCCGAAACCTACAGCCGCCTTTTTACCTTCAACCTTTTCATCTTCTCTCGGGGGAGCGCAAAGGTTTGAAGTGAGAGAATGATGGGAATGAAAGCATTTATTCAAAGGCATGACAGATTATTAGATGATTAAGTCACGGTGCTGTGCCAGGAAGACACTCTAATTGCAGCATCACAATTAATTAGAGCACGCATCTGCCGACTTAAGTGGAGACTTGAACGCCGAGTAGAAACGTAAGCTTCATCCAGGAGTAGCCACAAGAGAGCATTTCTCGCGGTGTAAAGCGTCGCCTTTTATCCGATTGACCGCTCATGGATAGAAGGCCGCAACCTCATCTATTTCACACAATTTCAAGCCAATCGAACCCTATACATTGGTTCTTGAAATAAAGAGTCAAAGTATTCCTACGTTTCAAAGAGGACATACTCTTAAACGAGCTGTTGACATTTACAAATCAGGAAACCCTCTTAAAGGTTTTTCCCTTTCTTTTTCTACGTAAAAAGGCAATCTTGCATTCATTGTACGAGTTTGCATGTCTACCATATGCAACATTAATTCATCTCAATAAAATTCAACACAATTTTTGCATAAATATTTAATTTTTTACATAGGTTGTCCCAAAAGTACTGCACGTTTTTTTCTTATTGACGAACGGTAGTAGATATCAAAATGCGGTTTGTGTAGTCTTAAAGACCGGCCAATTACCGATAAAACAAGACAAATCCGAGCTCTCTAAGTCCAAAAATGACTAAGTTATAGCGTTTTGAAAATGACTTGTAGAGGGGACCCCTACGGGATTTTCAGCCTCTTTTCTGGAAAAAAAACAAAGAATTAAGGATTCAAGTGGTTTTATTAAATCAATTTTGCAGAATCTTACCAAGATTACAAGCATTTACTCTTCTTCACTGGACGACTGGACACTAGTTTCCTTCGCAAAATACCGTCCATCACTTGTCACACAGCGCCGCAACCGTTCTTCCCAATTCTTCAAAGATGGTTTTTTCGAATTTTTCTTGCCTAATGTTCTTTAAGAAAGTTTCAACAGCTCTTTTCATCTCGTTGATGGAGTTAAACTTCCTGCCTCTTAAGCCCTTTTTCAACGTAGGGAATAACCAAAAATCGCAGGGTGCAAGGTCCGGGCTGATATCATGTTACCAACTTCATTCGATCGCGACGATTTCTCTGTGGAATTTTTGATCAATCAAATCTTTGTTTTTTCCAGAAAAGAAGCTAAAAATCCTGGAGGGGTCACCTCTACAAGTCATTTTCAAAACACTGTAACTTGGTCATTTTTTGACTTAAAGAGCTCAAATTTGTCTTGTTTCATTGGTAATTGCTTGGATTTTAAGACTACACAAACCGCATTTTGATATCTGCTACCGTTTGTCCAAAAAAAACAACAATCAACTCTTTGTTTTTTTTCCAGAAAAGAGGCTGAAAATTCCGTAGGGGTCCCCTCTACAAGTCATTTTCAAAACGCTGTAACTTGGTCATTTTTTGACTTAGAGAGCTCAGATTTGTCTTGTTTTACCGGTAATTGGCCGGTCTTTAAGACTACACAAACCGCATTTTGATATCTACTACCGTTCGTCAAAAAGAAAAAAACGTGCAGTACTTTTGGGACAACCTATGTATGCTGCATCTCGATGGTGAAAATGGACTGATTTTGCAATTGGGAACCTCTATTTAGGATTCATTTTAGAAACAGCGTGTGTGGCATTAGTTCCCGTTTACAGATAGGTGATTTTGTGGACGAGTCAGAAATATTAGTTCCTTATTGCAAAAAGTAGTCTATACATATCAAATTACATACCTCTGTTTACGCCCTCAACAAGGCGCGCGGCGTTAGAATCACCTCTCCACGTTTGGTTGAGGGATACCTACTTTTTAATACGCGCAACATTTACGGTGATACACTATTCCATCACATGCGTGCTCGCGTTGCCTACATTAAAAATTTAAAGCGAACTGGCATGGCGTTAAATTCCCGCTTACTGTTTGATAAAAAGCTATTTTTGGGGGTGCATTCTAGGTAAGCGTGCCATTTCACGACGATACCGCTATTCGATCACGTGGGAGCTCGTGATGCCTACACAAAAAATTGAAGGCGAGCTGACGTGACGATTTAACTAAGGTCGACTCCAGTTCTTATTCTTGTGAGCGGAAACTTCAAGCTTCTTGTAACCGAAGCTAATTGAAACGTTAATATCTCGATTAAGAGTTAAATCTAGAAATGTTTGACGTGCAAATCGTGTTCTACGAGACGTTTTAAAGAGAAAACACGAATTAGAATGTTAGAATTTGCATTTTGTTCAATTCTTCAGTGTTGTAAATCGAACTATTTGACAGCGGTGTACTATACATACGGCAATTGAGACGGAAATTAGTGAATAATTGAAGGCCCAAATAAATAAGTCAGTAAATTAGACTTTAAATAAAATTGTAAGAAGAGACGGCAAAAAGAAGAGTAGTTTGAATAAATTAGATGATATGGGTGGGAGTAAAAATAAGATCAAAATATAATTTTAATTATTAATATAATTATCATTCATATCATGCAACTCATTCAAAAGATTTTCTGTTCGGTCATTTCTACTTCAATTCTAATTCACCTACTTATTTTTCAAGTTCTTCGTACCCTGTATTCCGTGTGAATTTTCAAATCGTGTAAGTATGGTAAAACGTTGACAAATGGTGCATTGTACGCAAACGTTACCGGTTTAATTTATCCACAAATAGTGTTGCGACAGGTAACTGTGCGCTAACGTTACCAGTTTAATTTATGCACGAATGCGATGTTGACGGTAATGGAGATGTTGCATGTGTGAGGGATTTGCGATTTGACCATCGATTTTTATGTAAAAGTTCGCGAGAAACACGATGGTGTCACTAGTTTTCTCTGAAATCATCTCCCAAGCTCAAAAAAAGCTCCTAAAGTGAGGCCAAAATGGAGGGGATATCCCGCCCTACCCTGAGAGTCCACCTCTACATCAGAACAAACTCTCCATGCAAAGATAGGGAGCAAATACATTAGCAGGGTTACCGTGTTTTCAGTTTTGGAGTCCCCAAATAAAGTGGCAACCCTGCTAATGTAGAGGTGGACTGTCAGGGTAGGGTGGGATATCCCCTCCATTTTGGCCTCACTTTGAGAGCTTTTTTTGAGCTTGGGAGATGATTTCAGAGAAAACTAGTGGCACCATCGTGTTTCTCGCGAACTTTTACATAAGAATCAATGGTCAAATCGCAAATCCCTCATACATGCAACATCTCCATTGGAAACGTTATCGGCACGAAAAATGTGGGCATATCTATCCCTAAACGCGCCATTCAAATACAATTCCTGTTGGCGCTCACGATGAGTTCGGAGGGTTGACACGCGGCCTATGTGAGAAGCGAAGCGGTAGATTGACGAGATTTTTGCTCACAGGCGCAATTAGCACGGCTGCATATTGTGGCCTGGCCATGCATTGCACCGAGCAGGAGCAACGCATCTCGCCGCTCCAGTTCCGACGGTGCATTTTTGCAATTGCACCGACCGGAGTGAGGCATCAATTATGATATGAATGGAGAAAA